TTGGTTAATGTGGAGCAATAATAGTAGCCACAAGATCAAAGTTAATTGGTTATTTGATTAGTTAAAAAAAAAAATTTGTGGTTATAATTGTCAATTCCCCTTTATATAATACATAAAATTTTGAACACATGTTGATTTAGAAGTGTGATATTACAATTTTTTTTGTTTTGTAATGAGACGAGACAACAGAAGTAACTAGAATTTTATTATTGTTTGTTGAATGGTGTAACCAGATGATCTCTCAATTCAATTGAGCCGGGGAAATCAAAGGCCTGTTCGAGAAAAAAGCCTTCAAGTTAGCCAAAGCAACCTCTGCAACATTGTTCAAAGACCCTGCCGTGAGCACAGCAGCATGTGGAGACAAGACAACATTGTCCAAACCAAACAGTTCCCCAGGAATTTCTGGTTCGTTCTCAAACACATCTAAACCGGCACCACCAATCACTCCTTGGACTAGACACTTGACCATCTCCTTCTCATCAATCAGTCCTCCTCGTCCCACGTTAATTATAACCCCGTCCTTACCAAGCGAATCCATCACTTCCCTGTTCACAATGTGGTGCGTTTGATCCGTCAAGGAGCAGCACAGGACGAGGACATCGTTCTCGGCTGCTAAGGAGAGAATGTCGGGGTAGTACCGGTATGGGATGTCCGGTTTCTGACTTCTTGAGTTATAAGAGATGATGCAGCCAAAGGATTTGAGTCTTTTGGCGATTAGGGATCCGATACTCCCCAATCCAACTATACCAACCCGCTTTCCGCTTACCTGCAACAATACAGATTATCATAACTACAAAGACTTTTAGTAACATAACAAGATCCACTGAAAAGTTTTCTTCTTTCTCCTAATCGAACTCAAAACACACGCTAGCTCTCACGGAGATTGCTTCATGAATCATATGCATTGAACCCACAAACACTCAACCCTGTTAATCTTTATCGTTAACTCGCATCAGTCCACAAGAAATTTGACCGTCTTATCAAAACGAATTGCATAAGTTCAGTCTTACTGTGCCCAACTCAAACGAAACACAAAGCGATGCTATAGCTTAATCTAGTGCTGTGTGGTCCTTAAACTCAGCATCATCTTCCTTTAAGAGAGAAAAAGAGAGTTCTTGTAATCTGATCAAAGTTTCATCAACAAATTCTCTGTCCATCTAAAAGCTATCTCTCTTAAACCCAAAACGAATTCGCTTTTTAGAATCATATTTCAAAACTGAGAGTTTGATTTCGAACAAACCTTGGACCCAAGTGGGAAATCCCCCAATTCAACCCAATTACCAGACCGGACGAATCGATCGGCAGCAGGAATACGACGGAGAACGCTAATAAGCAGACCCACAGCACTATCCGCCACATCCTCCGAGAAAGCATCGCCGGCGTTCGTGACGGCGACGCCGCGACGATTGCACTCGGCGAGATCGATGTGATCGAGGCCGACGCTGGTGCAGACGAGTATCTCGAGAGAAGGAAGGTAAGAGAGAAGTTCGCCGGTCACCGGAAGCCTGCCGATGTTGACGAAGGCTCTGATTGAGGAGGCGTGACGAGAGAGGAAGATCGGAAGTGGGTCCGATGAAGAGGGAATAGTGAGAACTCGAAAGTTACGATTAAGAAGATCGGCCATATAAGTCAGAGACGATGGTCGGTGAACGAGGATTAGCGGCGGAGGAACTGAAGATTCCGACATTGACTTTTGATTCAGAGAGGACTCTTACTAATCACTCAGAGTCTCTCTAGTAGTCTTAATTTTTAACAAAATGAATATTCAGTTTAAAAAACAAAATTCCAAAAATTCAATATGAATATTTATGTAAATACAAACTTATTTAGCAAACGATTAGAACACAACTATATTTCATGATAAATATGTTTTTTTTTAACTAATGAATAGTTAGGTGCCACGTAGTTATAAAAATCAATTGAAAATAATAGAAAGAGAAACCGGCATTGACAACCATCACACAATACTTTATATCAAAGATATAGTTTTTCCCTTTTGCTGTCCAATGTGAACATCTCTCTAGATACTTGGATGTTGATCACTGAC